TTAAGAATGTGAAAACGATAATATTAATTACAAGATTTGAGATGAATGGGTGTGATTGCGATTTATGAAGTGAAAGTGATGCAAGATTGATAGAGTTATGATATATAGAAATTCTTGTAAATATTTCCTTATGTAATGAGATTACATTATTGTGTGTTTGTATGTACTTTACATATGATTGTTTTCTTTTCTCACCGTACGATTTGTGGATGTTTTAGGTGAGAAAGATTCGGCTTCGAGTGGCATCTAGAATGCCAACAGTGGAATTGCGGGATGCTCTGATATTGTGACATCGGGGTAAAGGATTTTTAGAATATAGGTTTTTATATGGATTTGGAATTGTAAATGTTATTTTTGAAAACTCTTGCGTTTTATTTTTATTATTGTGGTTATTGAAGGATAATTTTGAAGATTCTCATGTGAACCCTTTTACCGAAATTGAAAAAATTTATTTATAAGTTTCTATTACTACAATATATATATTGGGGTAGTAAGGGTGTCACATACTTCACCTCTTTCTCATCGGACATAATAAAAATTGACGTAAAAAAGATGCAGTGACATTTTTGTAATTTTTGCAAACTTTTTTTACGTCAGACCTGGTAGGGTCCGACATAAAATGTAAAATCTACATCGGACACAACATACAACCGACATAGATTTTACATTTTACGTTGGATCCTACCAGGTCTAACGTAAAAAAAGTAGCGAAAGTGAATAAGAAGAGTGCATGGGAGGCACACGCACGCACGCACTCACTCGGATCTCATCACTTTTCTAGATTCTTCTTTGTATAAACCCTCTCCCTCTCCTTTGTCGCTGACTCATTTTTTTTGTCTTCTGCAGAGTGGGGTGAACTCTTTGTTACTCGTCCGCACACTGTTCAGCTTAGGTATGAATCAGGGTTTCGCTAACACCTTTTTGCTTCGCATTACTATTGTGGCTGTTTGTTCTATTCGGTCTTTTGGTTGTTCTATTTATTTGGGTTGTTGGCCTTTTCTTCTAGGTTGTTCTATAAAGCAGAACGACCCGTTCTCCAAGCAAAACGGTCCATTCTACTTGCACTCGTTATATTTTTTTTGTTTACAACTTTTTTACGTCGAATCTTGGCAATGTCCGATGTAAATTTACGTCGGTTTTCACAACCGACGTAAATTTACGTCTCCCGCATTGACGTCAGAGTTTTTTCTGACGTAAAAAGCTTAAAATAACAGACATAAATTACCTTTTTTGTACTAGTGGGTGGAAGCTATTTAGCTTGAGGTGTGTGATCCCTTGGCTAGAGGGTTTCTTATATAGCTATCTAGGAGGCAAAAGCATAAGAGAGTTGTCTGATGTGGGACTAAATCTTACAAAAATACAATATTTTTCTAGGCATCGTGCAGGACCTTTAGAAAACTTGTTAATTGTCAGATTGTGTTGGTTCTTTGACTGTATCCTCACAATATATTTATCTTCAATTTCAACGGCTGGATCATTGAAATCAGGTCTGCTATGAGATATACTATCAGAACAAAAACGTTGGTTGGTATAAGACTCCTACTTTCCAACTGCAGTGCAAGGCCTCTAGAGAATTCATTAACCGTTGGATCATGCTAAAATTTTGATGATATCTTCTAAATACAATGATCTTTTACTACTATGGTCGAATTGTTAAAATTAGGTGCGTAGCGAGAGATATTATCAGAACAAAAATGCTTCCTAACGCGAAGATTAGTTTTTTTAGTTTTCTAGGCCTTTCGGAGCTATCTGGGTCCGTTTAGGCGCTCTATTGGGCCCTTAGGGGCTATACGTGATACTTTTTCCAATTGTAGTGTGAGGCTTGTAGAGAATTTGTTAACCATTGAATCATACTGAAATTTTGATGACATCTTCTCAATACATTGGTATTTTACTTCAACGATTGGATCGTCAACATTAAGTTTGTAACAAGAGATACTATCAGAATAAAAACGTTGTCTAATGCGTTGGGCCCTCCAGGACTCTTTGTGTCGCTCTAGTAGACTTTTGTCTTTAGTTTGGATATCTTGAATGAAATTGGGTTCTATATTTTTTGTTACATAATTATGTTTATATTTGAGTTGTATCGATGATGTGAGAGACATATCAAAGAAGCATTATTCTTACGATACCCATGTCCTTATTAAGTATCACAAGAGCAATATTCTATCTGTACGTTCGAATGACACAAAAGAAAGAAAGAAAATTTTATTCCATTTCATAATACACATCATACATTTATCTTTTAACTTTTATCATATCTCACGCTCTTTCAATATAACATTCATCACAAAAAAATTATTCATGCATGCATGCATTCATCTACATTTCATAATTCATTCATGATATGCATTTTACATCTTTGCATAAAAAATAATACTCTATGAAATCATTCATACAACTTTAAAAGATTTCAATTGTCATAATCATTGACACTTGTTTCTTAAAGAAAATGAATACAGTTCTCTCTTGCATAATTCAAAGTAAGATTATTATTCCATTTGAGCATTTAGTCTAAAATGTATCTCATAACATTCAATATTTTCATAATTTTTCATGACATTCACGCATAAGCATTGTTTAGATTAAGTAATCATGTTAGGTATATTCATTAGCCATATTGTAACAGCCCAAATTTTTACTAGGCCGTGGGCCCAATTCGTTGCCTGGAACGGGCCGTTTCGAAAGTGAAACGGGCCGTTCCGGAATAAAGAATTTGCCTAAAAAACGTATTTGAGAACGGGCCGTTCCGGTTGGAGAACGGGCCGTTCTGGTTGGAGCACGTGCCGTTCTGGTTAGGAGAACGGGCCGTTCTGAAAGTAGAACGGCCGTTCTGCTGGGTTTTGGAACGGGACGTTCCGGTTTTGGAACGGGCCGTTTCGGTTTTGGAACGGGACAATCCAATTGAGATTTTTGCTTGGTTCTGGAGGGTCCAAAACGGCCGTTCCACTTTTGGAACGGGCCGTTCCGAATTAGCTGAGGCAGATTCCTATAAATAGGAGGCCTTACTTCTCATTTTCTCACATCTCTCATTCTCTCTTTCTATTCTCTTCTGTTCTTTTTTCTTCCCCTCTTCTTCTCTCTGAAGACCATGGGGCACTTAGAGGAGGAGACCAAGAGATCCCTGTTGTAGTTTCAACTACTGTTTATCCAGGTACGGGGGAAAAGGGGATTATTTATATGTGGAGTTACATGAGGGAATTGGGTAGAAGAAGAGCCCTTAGGATTATGAGTAATTTTATCATTATTTCTGTTTGAAAAATTATTGGCATTATTTGATTCTGTATGAATTTAGGATTATGAATATATATTTAATTTGTAAGAATGATGATCTGAGAGGGAGAACGAAACTGTAAGAAAAGTGCCTGTGAGTTAGGTTTTGAAAGAATTGGGGGTTTTATTGTTTATGTTAAAGTTATATGAAATTGATAATTCCATTGTTTATAATATTAATTTATGAATGTTATTATTGTATTGATTGATAAGAATGAATGATCTTGATGTGAATTACTTGAGGGGTGTGTAAACCCTTATTTTGTTGGGCTTATCTGTTGTGTATGTGAGGTGGAATTGTGTACGTGATGTGAATTTGAATTATGAGATGAGATGTTGTATGGATGTGATTATGATTGTGATTGTGGTGCCTCACATCAGTGACTAGGGATGGCACGAGAAAAAGAAAGAAAAAAGGCATTGCTCTTAGGGAAGAGTAAGGAGGAAAATAATTCCTCTAAAGGACTTGTGAGTGAAGAGAGTTGTTCTACCACTAAAAATCATTTACAAAATACTCTCTTCATAAATAAAGACCTTAACTCTTACCCTAATCTTACCACTAGTCATGAAGTAGAGATTCAAGAACAAATCATTCTAAAGAAAAATGAATCTCAACTTCAAGATGTAGTGAAGAAGGAGTGGACTACATTTAGTTCCACTTCTTGTGCTACTTCCTTGGAGGTGCCCAAGGAAGATAGCCTTCCTCTCTTTAGGAATCCTTCTACCATAGTTGTTCTAATAAAGCACCCAAATTTTGGAATATATTGTTTGATAGATACATCTTGTCATATTTCATATTCTATTTTTGATCTTATGGGAAGTTCATCTTTATTTGAACTTAATTTGCACCCTTCCCTACAAGACAAAAATAGTTTATATGAGTTTTCAAGATTTTCGAAGACATTTTATCTACCAAACAATATGATTCAAAATTGTTTAGTATGTTTTCTAGTTAACAAAAATAATAATAATAAAGATTTGGGTGTTACAAAACACAATGATGTGGCTTTATGGAGGTTTTGATGATGCTATTTTAAAACTTTTTGGGCTATTTTTTTTCCTATTTATTCTTTGTTTGCACCATTATGCTTATTGTTTTTTTGGTGTTGCATATCTCTGGCTGTTTTGTTCTTTTTTTCATGCATTGGTTGTCGTGATTGATAGGATATATGGCATGCACAAGTTTTGGGTTTTAGGTATGTTTTTATTATTGTTTATGCTTCTTTTTGGGTTGAGTTTTCTTCGATGAGAAATTGTTGAAAGCCGTCATAGTGCAATGCTGATGTAAAAGTCAAGTAGTAGTGCAAATAATGTTTGCCAACGAACTCACAGAAATGTCAGGGTAAGTGTGGTGCAAAGGAGTTAAAAAATAATAATCAAAACCATTTTCTTTGCATATATACTACGAGTTTCATCGATGAAAAAGATAACAAAAACATTTAAACGAAAGTAACAAAATTGGATCCAATTACAGGAGAACAGTAGAGGTTGGGAGGAGATGACACGAGAAAAAGAATTATAAGAAAAAATTAAATATATTAAAAATTTGCCTGTAACAAGTAAATCATCTCAACTATTTGTTTTTATTATTAATTGATCTAACGGTTAAAAGGAATGTTTCATCGGTATACCACCTAATTAAGTCGATCGGTAATTTACTCCTTTACATTCCTCTACATTGATTAAGTAGAACAATATTTACTATAGAAGGAACAGATTTTCCACAATAATTAATAATCGTTATTGGTCTAGAGATAACATAATCCATTATTTGTTGAGGAATATATCAAAATATAGTCCAAGATTGTTGTCAACCCATACAATACACTACTATTTCATTGACCAAGTCACGTGAAGATATTGTCTTAGCCAAAACAAAGAAAAGAGCCACGAAATATTGAAATATTAAATGATATTTTGCAGATTATGGATTAGCCAATTCCTGGAGTCCTGTTGACTTTGTTAGATTCATCCACGTACAATCTAACTCTCTGGGGCTTGAAATCTGCAGTGACAAAATAACCAGGAGGAACCACTTGAATTTCAACCCCACTCATCTCTTCCTTTATTTTCTTCTCTGCTTCTTCAGCAGTGACACCAACCAGCTCAGGCCAACTTGTTTTTCTAGGGTTGTTTGTCCCCAGAAGCTGGTTGAATGACCCTGCAATATCAAACATATTTTGGTACCTTAGTGAATCAATTTTCCTTCACACTATATATTTGGAAGAAAGATATTAGGATTATATATATTTTTAATCCTTTACTTTTAAGATAAATTTATTTTTAATCTTTTAAATTTAAAATTAGTTTTTTTAAATCATGTAATTTTAAAAAATCTTGTTTTGTTTTTTCTATTCAAATTTTGTTAGAAAATCAGTTAATTGCATAAAATTTATCTATTGGTGTCTCTGTTAATAAAAATATTACATTAAATCCGATTGAAGTTAGATAACTATCTCAATATGTATCTTTTAAATATATTATTGGTTATCTAAGAGACTAAAATATTATTTTTTTTAAATTACATAGATTAAAAATAATAATTTTAAATTTGAGAGATAAAAATAAATAAATAAATAAATAAATAAAAATATATATATATATGTATATATATATATATATATATATATTTGATAACTTTTAAAACAAATTATTAAATTAAAAGTACATATCAAAAAGTGTTTTTTCATTGATTGAAGGTATAATTTATAATTATAGTAATGATAATATAAAATTATTAAACTTTTTAATTATATTAAAAAGAAAAACAATTCTTTTCAGGAAACTTTTCTTACTTAGGTAAAATTGACTGAAATTTATTTATTCATGAATAAGGTCAATGACTTTAAATGAAATAATTTTTCTATTTTTCAAACTAACAATAAAGAAACTGTGAAAAAGTATGTCCGTAAGAAATAAATAAAAAATAAATAAGTAAATCAACAAGTTTATGTATTTAGAAAGAGCGAGATAAACAGTCACTTGGCAAAGGCTCATTTGGTTGCTCCTGAGCAGGATTAGTTCCTTGTTGTTTTTGCTCAGCCATAAATACAAAACGACCAAGTACTCCTTGAAGGATCCTTTAAAAAAAATTTTCTCGAACGTGAACCATTTATAGGAGCCGTGGGAACTCTTGACTCGGTGGAGTTGGTTCTAGATTGCCACCTCTTTTGAACATTTGCGTAATGAGACGATTAAGGTGGTATTTCCAATGCCATATGCCTTGGTTTTGTGGTGTCACGTAAGCCAACTAGGAATACATATTTGTCGTATATGATCGTGGTACTAGTACATGCCAATAATTGAATAATTATTTTCAGCTTCTATTCGGTTACTCCATTTTATCCTATAAATTAAGAAAGAAAATAATCAATTGAGAAAAAAAAAGCGTCAGCGTGACAGTTATCCGTTGACCGATTAAAGTTAACAAAATTAATAATTAAGTATAATAGAAGAATTAATTTTTATAACAAATTTAAAATTTAGGAATTCAGATATCATAAAATCATTTCAAGGATTTATAAGTCATTTCTGTCATCTTTTAAAAACTAAACTGAGTGTGTACTAGAAGGGAATAGGGAGCCACGTGACACACTGTGTGACATGCCACGTAGTACACAGCGACATACCTAACCAACTCAACACGAGACCTTTCGGCCATGCTATCTCATCCCTTTCGGCCTCGTCGGTTGCCGACATACCAAGATGTATTATGTATGACCCCATCAACCCATGCGAATTGGCTCGGATCTCTTGGCCATGTTAGTGGCCAAGACACTTGGATGTATTTAGACACGTTCAAACAACTCGATACACCAGGTTCGAGTATCTCGACTGTCTTGGTCGTCGAGGTGCATATGATCCTCGTCCACAATAGTGACCCTCGCCCTCTCGATTAGGTCGAAGCCAAAAATGACAAGGTGTTGACATTATCGAACCTTAATATGACAATTTGCATAACTAACAAAGATAGTATGAGGTTAAGAGATAATTTGTCATTAGCCATCGTATTACCTAATTGGTAATAAAGGAACAAGGCCCACTATAGACACCCAATTTAGTCTCGAATATCCAAAACAATGCAAGAAGACTTTGAAGGCTCAACGTGACACCAGATTAAACCTGAACAAACATCAAGAGGCCCATAAGCATAAAAAGGCTAAAAAAGGAGCTCGGAATAGGTCGTTCCCAAATCGGAGTGGGTCGTTTCAACTCACTAAAAAGGTCTAAAAATCCTAGGTCAGGTACCAAAATGACCATTCTAGTCAAACCTGATGTCTATAAATAAGAGGTCTCATGCATAGTGCCAAGTACCAAAAATGGAGCGAAAATTTCTTCCCCCTCTCTTTGTATTTCTTGAGAATTGTGAGGTGAATTGTAGTGTGCAAGGCAGCCAAAAAATGCCTCAGATCTATCATATTGGAAGCACTTTATAAAAGCTCATTCAAGAGGTATTTCCATCAATTTTCTTCTCTACCATTTTATTATTTTTATTATAAAGCATTACTATAAATAAAAGCAACCACGTAGATGTCTTAGGATTAGTCGTGTAATTTTAAATTAAGCATGTAAATAACCATCAATAAATGGGACTAAGTATTCAAACTCTTATTGTCTATCTTTCTAATTTCATCATAGGTACCAATATAGGGCGTTGTAGGGTGCATAATACATTTCCTACACGTAACCAACCCCTGAACCCAATTCTAGCTATGAAGGCCATAATTGACTTTCAAAAATATTTTCTTTTTTTGATGTTTTGAGTAAAATATCGGTGGTGACTCCTTTGAACTCTTTTCTAAAACCATTGATTAGGGATTATTCTAGTTTCTGGACATTCTCTAACTGATGAAATTTTCAAACAGAAGTCCAAACCATCTCTGGGCAAGATTAGAATTTTTCGGGTTCTAACAGATGGCGACTCTAGTGGAGAAGCTTAAAGAGGGTCAAACCCAAATAAATGATTAAATTAGCAAAATAAGAATAATAATTCAAATATTTGTTCCCTTTACTTTGTTTCCTTTGTATGTATTTATTTTATTTGGCTTTAATATATGTATGTGTGTTTAACACATTTGTTTGAATTAAACAATTGTACACAAACCTTTGCACACAACAGAGATATCGGGAACCTATAATGGGGCCACCTTGGGAGTCTTTAAAGATTAGTGAGGATAATTAGAACCGTCCTATACAAACACACTCTCTTTGACAGGGACCCCAACCCATGGATTTGAACGCGACTGTTCATGAGTATATGTTGATTGAGCATATGTGTATGCATTTATTTGTTTGCATTATTTGTTTTTAACAGAGCATTGGAATTTTAAATAAACAGCAGATAATAAAAAAAATAAAGAAATTAATACCCTTCCGTACATTCTTAGGTCATCATTTCATTAACATCATATAAGTAGTTTTCTTATTTTAAATGAAAAATGAATAAAAAATCTCAATCTTTACCATGATAAAGCCACTACAAAAGAACACTTATTACCGACAGACTTTTTCTCACGGATAAATATTCGTCTGAAAAATAACATTATCGACAGATTTTTTCGACGAATATGTGCTCGTCTGAAACATAATTGATTCCGACGGATATTACCTACGGATTTTTTTCGTCTGAAATTTTAGATGGATATTACCCACGAATTTTTTCCATGGGAAAATTATGATAATTCAGACAGATATTTCCAATGGATTATCTGTATAAAACATTGTTCATAATAAATGGGAAAAAAATTCATCTGTAACTTTAAAAAATTTAATGATAAAATATAACAATTTACCGACGGATGTATCCATAAATAAAATATTATCAAAAATACCCACGAAATTACCGACGCTATTACCGACGGATGTAT